GCACGGCAGCTGCTCTGCGGTGGCGGCTTGCCCAAAGAAGGCTCTGGCGAAGGCGCAGGAGCCATGGCCCCGCTCTGCCTCAGCCCCTCTGCCCCCAGGCTCAGCAAGGCGGCCTCGACGTGGCCCACAACCCGGGGACGTGGCTCACACAGTTAAAAATAGATGCATGCGTGGAATGGGGGGGAAGAGCTGGCACATGCACAGTTGAAGAGAGCTGTTACAATTTGGCGTGTGCGCCGGCTCTCCGCTAGTCTCCAAAACAGAAAGAGTTTCAGGGAACGCCTACGCCGGCTCAGAGCTTTTGGACTTGCTCGGAGATCGTTTTCTCCGAACAAGTCCAAAAGCTCTGAGGTGGGCTGGGTAAATGACCATGGCGGGCCGTATCCAGCCCGCAGGCCGTAGTTTGAGGACCCATGAGTTACACCTTTATGTATCTGTTCATGCCGTTACCTTTGACTTCCCCCCATCTTGGCATCTCTACAACTATGCAAGTATAGGCTGTATGCTCCTTGGGGCAGGGATCTTGACTTCTCTGTTTACTGGATTTGATCCCAGGACTTACAAACAGCATTATGTCCAACCCAACACCAAGGTATCCCGGTTGACTCATACCCCCCAACCTGGCTGCCTTCCAGATGAGTTGCCCTGTAGTTCCCACCATCCTGCCTGGGGATGGTGGGAGTTATAATCCAATATGTCCAGAGTGTGTCATATTGGAAAAAGTGGCTTTAGAGCACTGTGTACCGCTGTTGGCACCAAACAGCAGCCTCAATCTGGCATCTTATTACCCAGGTCAGCGGCAAATATACTTTTGCTCGGCACTGAGAATCTCGGGAGAATGTTCCTGACAGGACACGGAGCAGCCCCAGAAATAGCAGCCAGCCAGACAACAACAAAGCCCATGCCAGGCTAAGAAAACAATCCCAGCGAAAGGGAGGCGGTGAAAGGCAGCTATGGGTGTGTGTTTGGGGGCAACAAGGGGGACCACCCCAGACTCCAGCTGTCTTTGTCTTGGGCAGAGGGAAAAACCAGAGGGGAGAAAACGGGTTACCCCAGGGATGAAATGCAGGACAGCTTTGCTAACCCCAGTCCTTTATGCAGTTGTAGCAAGAGGTCTTTCCAAAAGATCTCAGCTTTAAATATTTTTTTAAAATTTAGCTGAGATGGTGTTTACCAAAAAGAGAACTAAACCAACACTGTATGGTTCGTTTATTAAAAGCTGTGGAGACTTTACATTTGTTTTCTGGGAAAAAAGCTTTTTCTCCCTGTTTGCTCCATGGCAAAAGAAAAAGATACCCCATAGGTGAAGAGGCTCTCTCTCTGCAAATATTATATCGTATATTGTTTCAATTGGTGTTTATGTAGTAGTTATTGTTGACTCTTACTTATATTATTACCTTATTGTTATTGTCACTTATTGTTTTGATTCTGTCTGCCTTGTAATCCGGAGTCCTGCTGGACTATTGATTAGCAGAACATAAATTTAATAATGAATAAATATAAAATAAATAAAACAGCCACCTTTGTCTTTTTAAGGCAGGAAGAGCCCCAGGGACAGGGCCTAGAGCTGAGGGAGGGTAGACTAAGGAGGACAGACAGACTCCTGAAAGACTGGAATTAATTCCACTCCAAATTCATTAATGAATTCCCCAAATTCCCCCCTCTTACATTTTGGCAGAGAGTGACCAACCCGCAGCCTTCCAAATATTTAGAAGCTCCCACCAGCTTTAGCCAGGAAAGCTGAGGATGAGACACGACGGGTGCCGGAGGCCCACGCGTCGGATGGACCGCAAGTTGCCCAGCTCGGTGCTTTGGGGTTATGCCTTGCACGACCCTTAGACAGACCCGTGTCTCCCTTGGCAGTGTGCCTTCTTCAAGATCTGACATGCCTCCATGAGGCTTGCAAACACAGCAAGTTTAATCACTGCCGGTTTGCCATCACAGGGAGCACTGGATCCCCAAATTCAAATTCCAAAGCCAATGCAGCAAGCATCCTGCATGTGCTGGCATTATCTCAAATAATTCTGTGAACTCCCCCCACTTCCAGACGCTCGTGAAAGTTTTATTTCTTAAGATGATGCAATCTTGTATTCGTGGAAGGGACTTCAGCAGTCGCTGAAGCCAGCCCCATGCTCGGCGCAGGAATCTTGAAAGTGCAGCATCCCCAAAAGCAACAACAGGGGAGCCCCCCCGACTGGAAAAGAAAAACTCGCCACTGAATCACAGAGGGGCCCGTTTCCTACTGAGCACACCCATGGTTTCACATAACTGTCCTCCACCTTCAGGAGTTTTCTGCGTTATGGGCCAGTCTGCATGAAATAGCCCATGGGTTCAATCCAGCCGTTCTCCGTCAGGGCACATGAGAGAGGGAGCTTTTGCCCAGTCAGCTCCTTCACGGACAGCTGAGGGTGTCATGCAAACCTGGATCAGTGGGTTGTTCAGGGGTAACTGCCCAGCAAAACGCCAGGGGTTAACCATGGGTTGTGTGTTCCCCGAACAACCCACGAGTCTGGGTTCACATGCTACGCTCAGTAACTCTGAAGGGACCAGTTATGGGTAGCTTAACCCATGGGTTATCATTAAGAATGAACCTGGTCTATTTGCATCGACTTCAAGAATCGAACTATTGAGCCAATACCTCCAGCAAACAGCCACCTAGCCTTGGATGGATCTTCAACACCCACCATGAAGGACTGGCTGAGGCAATAGGGTCTATTGTCAAACTCCGACTGTTAGGGAATTTCTATTCTTGTAGGTGTAGGGCAAACATCAAGGTGCAAATGAGGACCGCTTAATATTAAAGAACGGAGCTCCCCTGAGCACCTTCTGGGCTGAGGGATTTGTTTCCATGACTTACTACTGCTAAAGCACTGGACGTCAGAAACCCTCAGTGATCCGCCTCGGATCTCCAGAGATTTACTGGTACGGGCCAATCTTCCTGCCGTAGACCCCATCCAACTGTTGATCCAAGAACGGCTCCTCAGAGATATCCAGTCCTACCATCTGACATGACAGAGACAAAATCTGTTCCGTCTTCCGTGCCGCAGCCTGTCGGGTGTTTAAAAGCCGCTCTTGTATCTCTGTATCATTTTCTCTTTTCAGGCTGAGACAGCCAGCCAACTTTTCCGAGCATCCTCACAGGACTTCCTATTGGGCGAGTAACCGCTCGTGCTTATTATCGCTGCTATTCTTATTTATATCGTTATCGATAAAGCAATTGCAACTGTTCAGCGGTGCACAAACACCACAACTCTTTCAAATCTGCCCAGGCAATTTAGCTTCGGGCAGCATAGAATTGAAATAAGTAATAATCAACAAGAAAGCCAACGATGAAGACATCAGTGAGGGAGAGAAAGTAATGCCAGAACGAAGGCGAGGGTTTCCCGTTTCCTTTCTTACATCCTTTCTTGACTCCCCAGCGGATATTTAATTAGCGAGCCCTTGGGGACAAAGGGTTGCTTCATTTTTTTGCTTTATCCCCTTCCTACGTTAGCCGGGTCCTATAGTGGAAACGCTGCTTGCTCCAGCAGCTGAACAAAGGATTGGATGGACATGGGGAATGCTCTATGCACACCCGGGTTCCTGGATTTCTGCTCTACCTCCCTGCCCGCCACCTCCAGACACCTTCGAAAGAAAATGGACTGCTGAGTCAAGCCCGAGCTCGTTCCAAAATCCACACCCACTGCGGAGACATCCCTGCTCCCCCTCCTGCAGCTCTTGGACCGCTGTGGTCAACACCCACCCGCCTCCCCATGATCCAAACGCCGCTTGCACGTCCAAGCGAGAGGCCTCTGCCCCTCAAAGCTTGCAAAGATGAGCTTTGCACCACATGGGGATTTAGGCTGAGGCAACATTCCTCTAACACGTACCCAGCAACAAGTCTCAGCTTTGGAGCAGGAAGCAAAATATTCTGGAAAGGCGGCAGCCCCCTAAGCATGTGCAGAGTGCCTGCCCCTCACACCACCAGACAGTGATCGTGAGCGCTGCTCCCCAGACAGGTGTGCCTGACTACAACACTTCCCATCAGCTCAGACAGCAGATGGTACTCAGGAAGCGCTGCTTTGGGCGACGGGCTGAGAAGAACGCAACCCTGCTGTGCCTCGCACACTTGCTGCAGGGAATCCCAGGCAGGGACGCCCACTTTTTAAACATGCCACACAAGCCGTGAAGTGAATTATCTGGCAGGTATGCAGAAGCCCCCAGGTCACATGCTGGAAACTGCGGCTAACATTCCTCTCCGCGCACACGCAGGCATGCAAGCTACACAAGCTGCAGTTGCAAGTAATGCCACGGGCAGCCCACATCCTCAGGATCGGGGCAGGGAACCTGGGAGCCAACCCCCCAGGCGTCCTCAGACAGCCACCCCCCTTCCCTAAGACCACCAATTCTTTGGCGGGTTCTTGAGTGCCCTCTGTTCCCCTCACACCTAATAGGTCGAAATGTTTCTCCTAAGGTTTCGCTATCGACAGCCCTAGCTTTCAGGCTGAAATACACCGATATGTTGCGTGTGGGGGTGCTACTCACGCCTGGAATTTGGTCCCGCAGAGCTTCTCTGAAATTTAATTCAGCCGAGGAACATCCCACCGTTTCTCTGGATCAGTGGCGTGAGGCATTTTGGGGCAGCTGGTGACTTAATGGTGAAGCAGGGAGATGGGGTCGGAGGGTCTGCTTCCGCCCATCCACCCTCTCTTCATCAGCACCCCTTCAAAATGCAGCCCCTCGGCTCCTCAACTCAAGCCAGCTGGAAGTTACCCCCATTGCTTTGGAAAAGCATCCCAAGAATGATGTCACTGGGCAGAGTGGAGAAAGTCTTTCTCCTCAAGCTCAGAGGCACTCTTTCCCCTCACGCAAAGCCCCAGACCTGACAGAAGCGGGTCATGGTTCCAATAAGGGCCACACCACAGGACCGGAGGGGCTGCTGCCCCGTTTGCTTCCTGGACTTCCATCCGAGAAGAAAGCTCATCCTGGGAAAAGCTAACGCAGGGAGTGTCGCGACTTACTTCGGCCCTTCTCCTTGATGATCTGGATCAGGGCGGTGTAGTTGGTCTCGGAGAAGGGCACGGCCTCGATAGTCATGTTGTTGAACGTAAACAGAGCCACGTAGAGACCCTCGAGGGAGAAGTAACATGTGCGCTCGTCCCTGTCCTCATCCCAGAAGAGCAGCAGCGCCTGAGTGGTCCAGTTGAAGCGCTGGTGGAGCTGGACGCCGAAGCCGCCCAGCTTGCTGTGGCTCGGCCCGGCGCGGGTGGTCAGGGCGTATTCCCCCTGCTTGTCGTTGAAGGCCACAGCCTCCGCAGCGGCGGTCACCAGCGGCAGCCCCCAGTGCCCAGTGAAGCGGGCCACGGGGGCGGCGGTGTAGGCACACCCGGGCCCGAGGAAGACGTCCGGGCTGTAGAGCATCTTCAGGTCCACGGCCGACACCGGAGCCACGGTGTCGGAGCAGATGCCGTTGCGGTCCTCGCTGGTGCGGAAGACCTGCCGCACGGTGTAGCCCGGCAGGAGGTCCGGCCGGGCGTTAATCTTCCGGATGGCCAGGTCGATGGCGGGGCCCACGCGGGGCCGGGCCCAGGGGTACGTCGTGTTGTGCTCCGGCAGCACCACCGCGACGGTCAAGTTCGCGCCGGCCGCCGGGTCCAGCTGGGACAGGGCGGCCAGGAGCCACCACATGGCCAAGCCACCGGGGCACGGCCTTCCGAGGACTCGACAGCTGCTGCCGGCTCCCCGACGGTATGCGGCCCACATCCCCCAGAGCGAGCCCGGGAGCTCCCGCAGCCTCCTCGGGGTTCCCTCCCACCGGCACGCCGGAGGAGCCTCCGCGCTCCTCACCCCCAGCCCAGAACTCACTCCTCTGCCCCTCTTTGCCCCCTGCAGGGCACCAGCATGGAGGTGCGGCACCCAAGCCGGGGCACCCGCCGTGGGCCAGCTGCTCTGCTAGCTGCCCCGCATCCTGCTCCGAGCACCCGGGCCGCTCTCCCCTCAGCCCCTGCTCGCCATTCGCCGCTACAGCCCGCCGAGGTGGTCCATGCGACTGCTGGACCCAGCCTCCAGCCTGGCCGCCCCTTAGAACAAACCTCCGCGCCTTTTCTGGTGGGCTCCAGCAACTGGTGGAGTTTGCTGGGCGCTGGGGCACATCCGCCCCGTCGGGTCCAGCCCCCGGATCGGCACCCTCTGCTTGCCTAGCCTTGCCTTCCTTCCCGTAGCCCAGGCAGAGCCAGAGTGAGTGGAAGAGCAGAGCCGAAAGCTTTATCTGCACTGGGTTGAGTTGCTTTTCCTTCTCCTCATTCAATGACAAAAGGGTTGCTATCACCCACAAGGCGGCTTAACTCCTTCCTCCCCTCTTTCCAGGCAGAGCAGAAACTGTTAAGTGCCCACAGTAAGTCCCTGCCAGACCATCCCAAAAGCTGATCAAGGACTTCGAAGTGGAATAATTTCCTCCTCGAGTATCTATTGATTTCCAGTGGTTAGAGTGCTGGGCTGGGACCCAGAAGATCCAGATTCTAGTCCCCACTCAGCTGTGACGTTCCCTGGGGGACATTCAGCCAGTCACTGACTGTCAGCCCAACCTACTTCACAATGTTGTTGTGAGAATAAAATGGAAAGGAGAATTTTTCCTTTTCCTGGGTTTCTGCAGGAAAAAAGAAGGGATATGAATAGCAGTATTGTTAATAGTGATAGTTAATACGACCTTTTAATTCTCAGTTTATGTATTGTGTTTTCTTGCCATACTTTTTTAAATCCCACCTTTCTGCCAAAGAACTGGAGGTGATGTATGGAGCTTCCCAACCTTTCAAAAATATTCAGGCAACACCTTTGCAAGGTAGGTTAGGCCAAACGCTTCACCCAGCAGCTGATCGGCGAGGATTCAATCCTACAACTCCATTTTGATGGAAGGGTAGACAGAAAGGGTGGAAAGGAAATGGAAGGGGGAAATTTGCGTGAAGGCCATTATGTCGAAACTCACACATGGGTTAAGGTGGAGCAAGAGAAGTCCTAAGTTTGTGGCAAAGGCAGGATTTGAGGAAAGAAGCAGGATTTTGAGGAAAGAAGGGGAATTAGCACTGGGGAGAACTCCAGAGCTTTCAGCGGGAGACTGAATGCCCTAGAGAGGTTATGGGTTACAAAAGCATCGAGTTGGCTCTGCCGGGCAGTGGAGACTGGCACCCATCAACAGCTGTACCGCACCAACAACAGAGCCCTACGGACTGTATTTGGTTAATAACTCTACTACTGCCTATTCAGCTTTTTTAAGTTATTTCACTCCCCTTTGAGAAGCAGATCATCGCCAGGATAAACAGTTCCATGGGCCTAATTGTGCTAGTCTATGGTTAAAGCAGACCTCTGTTGAACAACGACCCAGGCCACCGTAGGAGAGCGGAAATTCTGTGCAGGTGAGCAAGTGGGCCATCGAAGAGGGGAATGGATCACATCACCCCTCCTTCAACAGCACAAATTGTAGAAGGAGTCTATGTCTCTGCTTTTTAACTAGGCATTAAAAAAGGTAGCAGCCACACAGACTCTGGATAATGGGTCCTGTCTTTCATGTCACCAGGGGAGCCTAGACTATCCCAGTAGTTTGGATAGGTGATTTTCAACAGATAATTGAGACAACTGTACACTAGATGCTGCATTTAGTTATTCATCCAGCACTTTGGGGAAATCTTTTTAATTAGCTATATAGCTCTTCTTCCACTTCCATTTTAAGAGTGCACAGGTATGAAGATCAACCTGAATTCATCATACAATTTGTACTCTCCCCAAAACTGAATATAATTAGAAGGGAAAATATAAATCTGTTAGCAACCCTTTGCTCAACGCTTTCCGTAAAATATACACATTACATACAAAACAAATACATTCCAAGATTGTTTCCAAGCTCGTTTTTTTTTCTCTCCCACCCCCTTCTGCTCTAAGGCTCCGTCCAAAACAGCTTACTAAAAAATTTTTTAAAAGCCCTGGAAGGGTTCCCCCTCCCACCACCAACTGTATGCCACATTCCAGATAAATGTAGTCACAACTAAAGCTGCACCCATGTGTGCTCAATAGGAGGGCAATCCCATGGAAATGAACAGCTGTTGAGCAAGCATACCTAAGTTTACATCCCAAATCCTCACAAAATGAGTAGAACCAAGCTAAGTGCACTTTCCTGGGAGTAAGCCTTGTTGAATATACTGGGGCTTATTGCACAGCAATCGTACACCATCAAGCTGAAAAATCAAGATACCGTGTAATGAGAAGAGAGAGTGAATTGTGGAAGGACCCTGGAGGTCATCCATCCCAACCCTCTGTTCAGGGCACGCACCCATCTCTGACAAATGGTCAGCCAGCCCCACCTGAACAGCTCCAGGGAAGGACAGTCCACACCCTCCCAAGGCAATACATTCAACTCTCAAACAGGCCTTCTCATGAGGAAGTTACAGTGAACAGTTTTACCTCCAAGTAATCTAGAAATATCTCCAATGGCACCTCCCTGGGGACAATCCTACAATTGTGCCTTTTTCCTCCTTTGCTGGCTTTCTCCCTGCAGTGATAAAGTCAGGCAGGGTGGGAGAAACTCCGGGGAGCCCCGTGCCTTCGTGTCCCATCCCCAAAATTGGGACTTGCTGTGCATCTGGCAACTTACATTGTCTGAAGAGCAATGGTGCCACCTAAAGTCAACACAAGAATTTCCCCTTCACTGGCTCACACACCCACTCCATGCTCTGAAGGAGAGCGAAGGAAGAAAAGCACTCCAGTTCAGTCTTGTTCAGGTCCTCGCTTCAAAGACAGGACCCCACAAAGTCGCGAGCAAACCGAGTTCAACACAATCCTGCCAGAGCACACGAAGCTACAACAGAAGGGGAAGGAAAAACGGACCGCAAACAGGATATTTTTCCCCCTTCCCCCAGCAATATCTTCTTTTACCTACCCACTTTTTGTTCGGGTTGTTTTCATGCTTTACATCCAGCCAGAAGACTCATTCGAAGGTACTCAGAAGCTTGTGTTTTACAATATAATATCTGATGCTAACAAAGGCCTTATTCAGCCGCCATGTCAAATCGTGCATGAGACAGGGCTTTCCTCCTATCCCCAAAGCATGTATGTTTCAATTCCAAAGCTTCCTTGGAGGAAGCATTAAAAAAAAGGTCCCCCTCTTCCAAAAAAAAAAAAAGAATTAAAAAGGAATCTCCCACACTTATTTCTCAGCAATATTGCTTTTGAGACAAGAGCAAGCCACTGTAGCCAATGAAAGTTTATCCCCTGTGAATTGGACAAGTCCCCTTTTAAAGGTAGCTGCTGGGAACGATTGAAGGCAAAAGGAGAAGGGGGTGGCAGAGGTTGCGGTGGCTGGATGGGGTCACTGTAGAGGTGGGTGTGGGCTTGGGTGGACTCCGAGGGATGGTGGAGGACAGGAGAGCCTGGAGGAATGCTGTCCATGGGGTTGTGATGGGTTGGGCACAACTTTGCAACTAAACAAACAAACAAACAGTCCATAGTCATCTCAGCTTGTGACAGTGGACTTCCGAGTTAAGCCCCTAGGAAGATTGTTGCTGCTGGACTTGACCGAAGGAGCAGCTTCTCTTCCCACAGTGGCCAACCAGCTACCTACAGAAAACCACAAGCAGGACATCTGTGCAAGAGGTGTACCCTCCGGCCCATGTTCCCCAGCCACTGCTGTGCATAGATATACTGCCTCTCATCCTGGAAGTAGCAAAGAGCCATCAGGTTAAGTAGCCGTTGATAGCTGCCTTCTCCATGAATCATGTAATTTCTTAAGCACATGTGCAGGAAGAAAAGACTGAGCCTTTTATCTCTTGGACCCTGATCAGAAAGGAGCTGATCACAAGCAGAGGTGAAGGACAGACTTAGAACAGCTTGTCCTCTCTCCTTGTTCTTCTCAAGACAATTGGCTTGCCTAGATAGCTTTCTTTTAAATTATACAATATTATACTGAGCACGCTGCCACTTCTGGTCTTTGTAGTTCCTCCACTTTGCTTCCATTCGGAAACATTTTCATAACAACTCATGGCTAAGTATCCCATCAAGAAGAGAATCCATGCTTAGTGCTGGGTTGTGAATCCAGCTTGTTTATGCATTCATTAGATATCGGTTTGGTCTGTGTCCTGCCTTTCCACTAGAAGACAGTACTTAAAGTTAATTGAAACTAATTAAAATAGTATATTAAAACGCAGTCAAAATGCAGCAGTTACCACTACCACCAGCAACAACACTACTGAGAATTAAAAACAGAACCCAAGTCAACAGACCTACTTACAGACCAAACACCTTTAAAAAAAAAGCAGTCTTTGCATGCTTACAGGATGGCAGCGAGGGTGTGAACGTAGGATCATTTGGAAGAGAACTCCACAGTCTGAGAACCACAAAAAATCCCGAGTCACTACCAGGCCTTCCTCTGAAAGCAGTGATCTTGAAACAAGGCCCCTTCCAGGAGATCTTAAGAACCAGGCAGGTTTGCACAATAGGCCATCCTTCGGGTAGTCTGGTCCCAAAGCATGTGGGGCTTTATTAAGAGGCCGGCGTGTCATAGCGATTTGGTTGATGGCCTGGCACTCCCGAGATCCATGAAGCTCACTGGGTGACTTTGGGCAACCATCGACTCTTGGGTTGGCCTACCTCTCAGGGATGTTGTGAAAATACCATGGAGAGAAAGAAGAGCAACGTTATGTAAGCCGTTTCAAGCTCCCTGCAAGAAAAAATAAGCAGGATGTCAATATAATGAATAATGATAAATAATTAGCACTTGGAATGTAGCTAGGGAAACCGCTTTAACAAGGGAATCACCTGCCTGCTTGAACTTCCCTCTGTCAACAGATTGCCTGCAGCATTCCAGATCCCCCCGAAGTGGCTGGACACTTTGAAGGCCATCTAGAGTGTTACAAGAGTCCAAAGGGATGTCATTTTTCTATGAATGGGCACAGCTGACCCCTTCCCTGGCCCGTGGTCCCAGCACACTCAGGGCCACCGCTGAGCCCTGGCATCCTGATTCAAGCCCACGTTTGTGGTTTGCAGATCCCCACACAATTCAACAAGCCGGTGTGATTAACTAGGCCCGTCATGGACTTTCTTGGCCTGGCCTACCTCACAACGCTGTTGTGGTGGGGAGAAAATGGGGAGCAGGAGACCCTTGGAAGCTGAGTCTTCAGCCCTGCAAGAGGGGAGAAAAGAACAGGATACCAATAGGATGTCATAAAGATAATACTCACAACCCACTATCAAACAACCCATGATACAACACCACAGGGTTGTGACTATGTGTGAACCTGAATGACGTGAGGGGGCCACCCCAGGCAACAGAGACTGAGGGTGGGAAAGAGAATGAAGGCCAGAGCCTGCCTAGGCCTCCGACACTAGCTTGAAAAATAACGACATTTCAAAACGACCCCAAAAATTAGAAAGGAAAATTAAAAAAAAATATTCACACCAATTAGCAGAGGATGGTTTCGATCCATCGACCTCTGGGTTATGGGCCCAGCACGCTTCCGCTGCGCCACTCTGCTATGCACGAAAAACCCTTCAGTTTGAGGACTTACAAAAGCTCGGCTGGCCTAAGCGCATGCGTGGGCTCGCGCATTCTTTCTCCCGCCGTTTGGACGTCCCTCTGCGCCCTCGAGCCACTCACTCGTCCCCCCGCGCATGCGTCTTATCCACCCGCGCGCACTCTACCAAAGCCCTGCCCTTGTCCCTCTTTCGTCCCTTCCCATTGGTCTGCCTTCACCCTGACGACCTGGCCATTGGCTAACTCTTCCTAAATGGCCAGTGCGGTCCGAGTCGTGGGGGAGGGGGAAATCTGCTGGAGATATGGGCGCAAGCGCGAGCCTCTTCTACATGATAGACGGTCTCAGCGAGCCAACGAGATCACGCGGTGGGAAAGGCGGGACACACTGATCCGATTGGCTGAACCCGGTAAATACGTTAGCAGCCAATAACCACGACGCTTGCTGCTCGCGGGAGCCAATAGGGGTGTCCCTTGTTTTGGGGTGCGGGAAAGCGGCGGGTGCGAGGATCGACCGGAGAGCCTTTCTTTCATACTTTCCTCCAAGTGACGGTCATCATCGACGGAAAAATGAGGTGCGAAGGCCGAGGAGAAAATGGACGGGAAAGATCAGTGAGGGAGGAGCTGAGGGAGAAGAGAGTTGAGGGAGAGGGCGCGCCATGTTCCTCGGGGGGGCTGGATCTAATTGCGGGGAAGGGTTGGGGGCACGTGAATGGGGGAGGGGAAGCAGCAACGGCAAGTGTGGGGAGCGGGGAGGAATCGGCGGCATCGGGACGGGGCCGGGGGCTGGAGGGCCTTGCTTTGGAGCGGGGGGCAGTTGCCATGTGCAGAGGCGAAAGGGAACGTTTCTGTTAGCCTCTCGGAAGCCGGAAACTGATTAACTTGGGCACTTTAATGCCGCCTTTCTGCCCCCTCCCCCAAAAAGAATGGTTACTCAAGGCCACAATAAATAATAAAATCCACATCGAAAAATCAAACACTGATTAAAGCATAAGCAATCGTAAAAACGGAACAGCAGAATCTCCACGTTTAGCAATTGTCTGTTTCTGCTCTAAGCCCCGAGTAAGGTGGGGTGGGGAGACAAGCATCGAGCTGTCACAAATGGGGCAAGAGGAGCTTTTCGTGGCTCTTGGTGGGTCAGACCTCGCAGATAAGGTAGAAGGCTTCTTTATCCCTGGACATTTTGTTGATCCTTCCCATCCAATATTGTCCCTCAGCTTGATGCACTCCGCATGTGTTGGGCTACAACCCCATCATCCTGTTGCCATGCAGTCATTCCCAGAAGTCTTTCCAAGCCTTGCTGCCTGAGATCCTTTTCATTGGAGAGGCCCCAGGGTTGACACAGGGACCTACTGCAAGCAAAGGGGGTGCTCTACGGGCCGGAAAGCTTCAAGGCTATGTATGCATACAGTCTGATCACTTCTGTGTTTACTGGAGGAGGGAAAAGACCCATTCGATGGGAAGAAGAGGAAGTTGCCTGGTGAAAGCATAAAGACTTGAATGAGCCCTGGAAAATGGGGGTTGCGGGGAGGAACACAACAGTATCCAAAAGTTTAAAAATTCCTGGTGACAACTCTTTTTCAGTCCCCCCACTTTTTCTGGGATTTTTTTTGCCAGGCACTCACATCTCTGCACCTGATCACAGTCTCAAGGCTGTTTCAGACAGACTTGACCAACTCTGCCTGGAGGGGCCTTTCGCATGAAGAGCATGTGCTCGGTTACTGAGCAGTGGCCCTTTGACAAGTGCAACCTTCTGCCTAATGTAGCTTGCAATCGTGTCCAACAGAAGCAGCATAAAAAAGTGGGGTAGGGGAACAAGGGGAGACATGTTAAGGATGGTAGAGAATATTAGTATCAAGATAGCTGAGGGTGGAGGTTTTGCATACAAAGTAGGGTCTACTTTAAAAAAAAATTGAGTGGCGGGGACATGCAACAAGGGAAGGCTGTCACCTTCATACACGTTTTTGATTTTCTAGAGTTGATTGACTGGGTACAATCAGGCCTTCATGTAGTCTTAGGAGGCTGTTTGGGGTTGGTTGGGGATAAATGGAACTTTTAGGTGAGAACAAAAGATTTTATGTGGACAAGGTGATTAGCAGGCCTTCTGATAGCTCTGTTTACAGGAATGTTTCCGCATCAGTTGAAATGCCTTGTGGGGGAGACTGGCATTCAAGTAGTAGGAGTGGTCAGACCCAAAGTAGGCAAGAGTTAGAAGTGTGACTCTGTGTTTGAGGGTGGGGAGGAAGCCATTGGCATCTGGGTTATTATCTTTTCCAAACTTCTGCAATGCTTTCTCCATTGTCTTTGCAGTTTGCAGGGGACGCAACAGAGCAGGATGGAGTAAATATTAATCTATGGCATGGCCTAGGTAGAGTCTGAAGATGCACAGTTGGCCCACAGGCCAGGGGTTTCACACCCGAAATTTTAATAAATGAAAAGGGCAACAAGAAAATAAAGATGGCAGCACATCTTGGCCCCTGCTTGAGATTACCACTCTGTTTTTCCTTCAGGGGTGACAGAGGCCGTGGTCGTGGCGGGCGCTTTGGTTCTCGGGGAGGCCCCGGCAGCGGGTAAGTCCCACAAGAAGTTAGGAGCCTCTGTAATTTCAGTGGTGTAAGGAGCAAAAAAATGTAAAAGTCTGAAGCCCTGAGAAGCCCATTGTGTCCTATCCCACCTCTATGGGTTTCTAGGGAAGCTGAGTTCCTCAGCTATAAAGTTTTAGAGTACACTTTGCAGCAGAGGGAAGCTAACTGTACAAACAGAAATGACTAGGGTTACCTTTATGAAACTTTCTCCATGCCTTCTCTGTTGCTGGGCCACTGTTGAGCATGTTAATTAAGTTCTTGCAGGAGGTGGAGTGGCTTCTAATGATGCTGAAATCTTGTTGCTGCAGCTTCTTCCTTGCAGAAGTAGCTTGATTGTAGGCTGCAGAAGGTGTGTCTGCTGTCTGGGGGAAGTTTCCTCCTTCTGCTGCAAGCTGCTCTATTTATAACATCTTGACCTTCTCCTGCAAACTCAAGAGCTTTCAGCTGTGCTTGTCAGATTGTCATGGCACTAAGAACCTCCTCATTTGTGGAATGAGTATGGGGCCTCATTATGACAATACTTAGCAACATTTCTGAACCCCTTTTCATTTTCTGTCTTCTTCCTCTGTATGCGACACATACATATCGAGGGGAAGGTAGTTCTTTTGGATTTCTCAGGACACTTGCTTAGGAAAACAAATTGAGAGACTTAACTTGATTACAACTTATAATCATACTAGTATGTACAACATTCCTGAGGGCCCATAGAGACAGGAAACACTGTGGAAAATTTCTAGTTAACATTAAAAAGGACGTGAGTGCATTGGCTGGTAGGTGTGTGGAAGAAACAGTATGTATCACTCTGCCTTTGAAACAAGGGGACTCCAATCCTTTTCCCACTTCACACAACCAATAAATGGAAATAAAAATGGAAATGATCAATTGGACCCCAAAGGCAGTCTTGTAACAGAAGGATACATTTGGCTGTGTTGTAGTAAGCATGCCACTTGTAAGGCATAGCTGTTTCCAGTTTGAACAGTCCAGTTCCCAGAAATTATCAGAAATGTTAATTCAACAGCCCATTTGAGCTTAAAAATCCTTGGAGTGTGCACATCTAGAACAAGGCCAGGGGAATAAATAGCAAAATTTTGGACACTTCCCCCACCCCACAAATCACTTGTGGATAGAAAGAATAATTGCTTATCAGTTGCATGGCCCTTTCCCACGGATGCGGGCTATATCTGCGACCAAGCATTGTGAATTGTCTTTGGGAAGAGGCTGAGACAGTGTGACTCCATGGGCAGGAGGTTTGGGTTTGTTCAGACAGCCTGACTGGAACGAAGTTGACCTGGCAGCACCTTCTGATGTTTATTCCCAAGTATAAGCATGCACACTCGGAGAATAACCCACGGTGAATCCACCGGGACGTTTCCTTGGTGCTCTGGCTCAGTATCAGGCTCAGATGTTCGCTCCCGATAAAATCATTACCCAAGTCGTCGTTTTAGTTTCATCCTGTTGTCCCTCTGAGGTACGCCAAGCATGTACCCTGAGACGTGGTTGAATACTAAAGGCTCATACTACTTCGCTGTGTTTCAGGTTCCGACCCTTTGTGCCTCATATCCCTTTCGACTTCTATGTGGTAAGTGGGCCTCAGAGGTGCTTTGAGTGTAATCGGTATGCTTGGCTTCAGTGGCTTATCATTGGCAATTGAAAAGCATAGAGTGGACCTGAAAAATGAGGGGAGCTCTCTGGATACATCCACGGGTGGTGTGCCTCCATGCTCAGCCTTTCTGTGGGAAGGTTGTTGCTCTGGGATAACTTGAAACAGAGAATGACTAGGTATAGGCTAGCAAATAAACATATATGAAGGATTATGGCATCCAAGTCTGAAAGGCCCTTTGCTTGCATGAGTATCAAGTCTGGAGAATTGTATGTCAGCATGTGTGAAGAGATCTTGTCAGGCTAATAACAAAAGCAGCCATGATTGTTTTACATAGGTCTGTGGGGGGCATTTACGTTAGTTTGACACACACACTGCCTGACTGTAACTTGGTGTTGTTGAGCAGTTAATGGACATTTATCTTTCCTGACAAAAATAGAGAAAAATACACTAGGGATAAACACGGGGTGTGTCTGTATATGCAGAGCAAATTCTGACTAAGCGTGTTGTCCTGCCTCCAGTGTGAGATGGCTTTCCCCCGTGTGAAACCAGCCCCAGATGAGACTGCCTTCAGCGAAGCCTTGCTGAAGAGAAATCAGGACCTTGCTCCCACATCTGCGGAACAGGTGCGTCCTGCGTGCTTGCTGCCCTCCCTGCCAGTGGAATCAAGAAGCTTCTGTCAAGGACTGGGCCAGAGCAATTATCCGTGCCTTTGACATTATTTTGTTCCCAGCTTTTCTACAGGAGTACTCAAAAGTATTTTTTCATTCAAAGTTCATTTACATGTACTTTAATTCTGATAGTAAGGTTCTGTGGGCGGACACCAACATTAATTAACAGTGGTGGTCTGTCACCTTCAAAATCAGCTGCCTCTGCACCTCCCTCCCCCTGCAAGAGACACAGATGGCCAGTTTGGCCATCCACCTCCTTTGGTCTGTCCACAGGAATCGGGGGCTGAGGCACCACTAAAATTCTCGTATCCTGACAGATGCCCCCTAGCACCAGCTCCAAAGTCTCACCTGCAACTTCACAGCTTGTGCCACCTGCAGGCGTGGGGGAAAGAGTACTGGAATATCCTTAATCCAGACAGAACATGTATATTGGCATGTACTTATTTAAAATCCTTTTATCCCATTCCTTGACCAAAACATCCCCTTGAGCTGCTTAAATATGACCATTAAAACAAGACAGTCCCTAACCACAGGTGCATGGTCTTTGTCACGCACAAGAAGCAGCCCTTTTCACACATGGCTCCAGCTGTGGGTTTAACCATATTGTGAAGTGAAGGGTACATCCATGTAATACCCCTTTCTTCCCCACCTACTAGGCCTCTATTCTCTCTTTGGTGACCAAGATCAACAACGTGATTGATAACTTGATCGTGGCACCAGGAACATTCGAAGTGGTGAGTCTTCTGCCTTCTCTTTTGGGGAGTGTCAGTATTTGTCGAGGCGGCTCTTGCCTTTGTCCGATGTGCTGCAGTTAGCCAACTGAGTCTCCTCTCAGTATGCAGTAACTCAGAGTCTCCAGGTTGGAAGCGATCAAGATCACCCCCCATCCCAGCTCACTGGCAAGACCCTTTATGCATCAGTCTCTCTGGAGTGCTAGAAATGGAGAAGTAGCACCATCCAAAGGAATCTGCCAAGTGAATAGCTCCAGACGGACAAAGAGTGGCAATCCTTGTGCACACCCGCTCCCCAGCCCCGGAGGTGCTCACCTTTTTCTTTTTCTTTCTCCCCCCCCCCCCCTTCCATCCTCACCAGCAAATTGAAGAGGTTCGCCAGGTGGGATCCTACAAGAAAGGCACCATGATGACCGGCCACAATGTAGCTGACCTAGTCGTGATCCTGAAAATCTTGCCCACGTGTAAGTTTCTGTATTAGCACCAAGGGAAGAAGGGGCTGGGTGGAAGGGAGCGCCAGCTGAGCCTAACACCGAGTCTTTATTTTTCCACTCCTCAGTGGAAGCCGTGGCTGCCTTGGGAAACAAAGTTGTGGAGAGCTTGAGGACTCAGGATCCTGCTGAAGGTCAGCACCATGCCTCTGTTCACAGCACAGTGGTCCAGGGGAAGCGACCACGCAGTATGCAGGGCCAGGACCCAAAGGGATACTCAAGCCTTCAAGGGACCACCCCAAAACAAGTCACATAATCCTAAGCACAAGATCATGTGAAACACAAGACAGGAATTTGTTTCCCGAGCATGAGGATCTCTAAGTAATTTACTTCTGTCTCTCCCCCACTGCCGCTTTTCTGCCTTAGTACTGACTATGCTTACCAATGAGACCGGTTTTGAGATCAGCTCTGCCGATGCAACCGTGAAGATTCTTATCACTACCGTGCCTCCCAATCTCCGCAAGCTGGATCCAGAGCTGCACCGTAAGGGAATCTGGCTCTTTCCTTGGGGCAAGCAAAGGGTTGAAGTAGGAAGAGTTCGTCTAAATCTGCTGAGATTTGGGCGAATGCAAGGAGTAGAAAATAGAAGCAAGCGCATTTCTCTGCTGAAGGAATCCTTGGCTCTAACTTGCACTAATGTCGCGTCTTTCCCCCCCGCCTTCAGTGGACATTAAGGTACTGCAGAGTGCTCTGGCTGCTATCCGACATGCCCGCTGGTTCGAGGAAAATGCCTCTCAATCCACGTAAGTTGGTTTCTCCCTCTTAGGAAATGCATTTGCTGCTCTGCCGTATAAAATAATCTCCAAACCAACAAAGCGTTTGTGGGAAGAGCAAGATAGGGGAGCGCCAGCCTTTCCCTAATAAAATCCCTTTTGTGCCTTGCTACCCAGCAGCTGCTATTCAGAGGCAGATTTCAGAACACAGAAGTTCCATGTGGCCACTGCACCCGCCAGCCACTGGGAGACGCCTTCCCTGCATTTGTCTACCCTGTGGGCACAGGCACCTGAGCCAGCTGCACATTTCGTACTAGCACATTTCACCTTTCAACTCCACACAGCACGGAGAAGTGCTTGCTTTTGCTCCTTCTGAATCGCCTGCCAAACCAGGCTTGGCTGCTCTTATGGAGATAATGGTTACCATGCTTGTTTCTGGGGTGACCTTGCCCTTTTTTCCTTTTTTTTAGGGTGAAAGTCTTGATCCGCCTGCTAAAGGACCTTAGGATGAGGTTCCCTGGCTTTGAACCCCTCACTCCCTGGATACTTGATCTGCTTGTAGGTGGAAGGGAGAGGGTGGGATGGGGTTTTTCATGCTGGTTCTCTGATGTTGGCTGGATGTGGGGAGGAAGTGTATTAATGCATCCCACTTGAAGAGAGCGGGAAGGGAAGTGTATCTTTTTCTCTGCGCTTAAGTACCTGTAGCTTCTAGATCAAGAACTGAAACAGATAAAGCAAATTTAAAAATACAAAAGCTGGAGTGGAGATATACAGGTATAATGCAGGTCCTTTTAAATATAGCATCTCCCATGTAAATACTTGCTCTTTGGGGGGATTTCAGTGACCTGTGGTTAATGCAAGAACACGTTTGACTTGGAAGCAAGCCACAGTGAACTCGATGAGACCTGTTTCCAGCTATACATGGGCAGGTTTGCACTGCCAGTCCCTGGGGAACAGGGCCGAGAAAACCAAGGTTAAATGATCTGCATTTCTCCTTGGCAAACCCTAACCATCTTCCCTCTGGTCCTAGGGACACTATGCAGTGATGAATAACCCGACTAGACAACCCTTGGCTCTCAATGTTGCATACAGGTATGGTGAAAGCAGTGTCATCTCCTGGAACATGCATGGGGAAGGTGGAGGAGGCACGCATCTTCTGGAGCTGGTGGAGAGGTGCTTCACTGCCTGTTTGGCCCCCAGTGCTGCCCCGACAGCTGTGGATTTCAGAGTCCCTCTACTGGGGCCTCCACTTATTTCTTACCAGCCTGTTTTCCTTGCTCTCACCTGTGCCAGTCACCAGGCCTCACCTGTGCTCTGCTCTATCACATTCTCACCTTGGACATCTCAGTTATGCGAAACTGAATGTTTGTAGCAAAAATAAATCATGCCCGTCAGAGCCAAGTGTTCATCAAAGAGTCGGGAGCATTGAAGTCCTCTACACGCTCGCTCCTGTTACTCCCATGCTGCAGAAATCCTACTCGGCTCCTTACTGAGCCCTTTGTGCCGCTTCACCTAGACTCCCAGTTGTAGCTCCACCTTCTGCACTAAAAGGAACCCATATGCCTCAACTCCTTTACAGACACCTGCCTTTGGAGCTTAAATATCCTGGACAAGACAGCTTCCTGTCGTGGCGCTGCACTTGTACAAACCTGGCCATCAGAAGCCTTGTTACTTGATCTATTTAAACCACCATTCCCCAGCCAATTGCATTCCCTTCCTCTACTCTCAAGGGCCGTATTTACATTTTCTGGATACACCCTGCGTTAACCAGCATGGGGCAAGTGCCCCTCGACAGTCTAACCTTGCCGCTTTTCCCCCAGGCGCTGTCTTCAGATCTTGGCAGCAGGACTGTTCCTTCCTGGGTCAGTTGGCATCACTGATCCCTGTGAGAGTGGGAACTTCAGAGTCCACACGGTCATGACTCTGGAGCAGCAGGTAATTCAGACCCCTTCTCTGTCTTGTTAGGGTCGTTTGATGGTATGACAGAGTAACTGAAACGTGACCTGGAGGAACTGAAACATGAGCTGGAGGCCCCCAGTTCTTACCTCTCTCATGGGGACTCCCAAATCGATAAGCTTCCAGGCTTCCCCCTCCCAAATACATGGAGAGGGTGACATGACTGACCTCTAGGTGTGGGGAAAAATATTTAGGCGAATCCTCCAGTTGCCAAGTGCTGTGAACTATTTGTGGAGCAAGAGGAGATGCGTTTCCCCAGCTTCTCCTTGTAACCCCTTGCTAGACTCCTGGCTCTAAACAAATACGATCCTAGCCCACATGGCTAAAACAGATCTGCCTATGGTAGTAAGTTTTGCAACGTGTGTGTGTGTGTGGGGGGGGGGATTCACCAAGGTTGACGGTTAGAAAATACCAGATACAGCTAATTGCAACCTCATTCAATACGAAAAGCAAACATGTGTCTGTGTATATGATCAGAGAAAAACGTAATGCCAGAAAGTGGATCCGTTAACCCAGTTGCCATGTAGTGTCCTAGGTAGGAAAAACTTTGAAGTGGAATAATACTCATGACATACCAATGGCCGCTTTTCCTTTGACAACTGCTAGGATATGGTTTGCTACACAGCTCAGACCCTCGTGCGCATTCTCTCTCACGGTGGCTACCGGAAGATCCTTGGGCAGGAAGGAGACGCAAACTGTAAGTAGGCAGTCCCTGGAAACTAGTAGAACCGAGGGGGACAGTGAGAGTAAGCCAGCAAAATGACCAGACAATGTTTCGGTACACCTGCTTGCTTGGTTGCCGTACTAAGAATTAATGCTTGAGAACAGTGGGAACTAACACAAGCGTTCCTCTATAAAGCAGTCTGTTAAAATACTGCATGCTGTAAGCCCTGTGGAAGGAACAGAACAGTCTACAAAAGGGACTAAACAAGAATCGAATGATGCTGCAACCTTGAACTTGAGCTGCAGGAAGAAATACTAGGAAGAGCAGACATTTACTGGGTGGGAAAGTCTCCTGGGGAGCCTGTACTGCAAATGGTAGCCAGTAGAATCTTGCAGTCCAGTACCCACTGACCTGGAAGTAAGCCCCAGTGAAATGAGTGGGTCTTAAGAGGAGCTAAGAGGGTTGTACTGTAATTCACTCTGTATGTGGGTCGATTGTTCCTCTCTTTGCTTATGTCCTTTAAAAAGAGGGCATGAAAAAATGGGAGGTGGGAGTATCCCTCAAAAAGGATGGGTGGGGGCAGCTTTCTAGAGCATTTTGGTCTCTTGATATGGAGCCAGAAATGGGAAAGAAAAAGGGTGCCAGTGGAAATGCATGGGAAAAACCTGGCCCTAAGACTTGCCAATCTCAGCTGATGCGAATAGCAGTGGAGTACACACCCTGTTCTCCATGTGAGGGCTTTGGCACGGGTTAAAATTTTAACCAAAGGCTTTAATCTAGAGGCTTCCCCTCTGCAGCGCAAAACGTAGCTTGGACGTTCTATCAAGACAGTGGCATTGGGCCTGTGCTGCCCCCTCCCCAAGTTTTCTACAGCCCCCTTTTTCTGCCTTGCAGACTTGGCTACTGAAATGTCTACCTGGGAAGGGGTGATTGTGACTCCGTCAGAGAAGGCATATGAGAAGCCACCAGAGAAGAAGGAAGGGGAAGAGGAGGAAGAAAACCAGGAAGATACACCTGCTGGGGAGGAAGAAGAAATCATGGAAACCCAGGAATAAACCCCCAGGTACAACAGTCACATACCAGGTTGCCCTTTCACCCCTCTCCAGACAGAAGCGCAGTTCTTCCAGCAAACCAGATGACAGTGGATGGAACCCACAGCTCCCTTCTTGCCAACCCCTTCTTTCTCCCAAGTTCCTCTTCCTCTTAGCCCGTTAACCTATTGTCCATATCAAGTTGTTAATGCTGTGAGAAGAACAAAGGCTCCTTTGTAGAATGGGTTGACTATTTGCTAATAATTGGAAGGTTGGAATATGCGAGGACCGACTCTGCTGTCACAGCTTTGGGCACAAGGCCTACCACCTTCATTTTGGTTTCCTATACTGTGGTGGTGAAAAAGAAGGAACTGGCAAGTGCCCATTGTGTTCAAGGACTGTTTGCTTCTGTCTTTCAGTGGAATTCTCTATACTCCTCGTACTTGATGCACCAGCTGAAGAAAATTGTAGTAAAGGACCAAGCCTGTGTCCTACCTGTGTGTTATTTCTAATTGTATTGTTTTTATAGTTCTTGCCATTAAAATGGTCTTTTCCTTTAAAGTTCAGTTGAGAGTTTGTCTCAGTACTACATCATTAGTATTAAAACACAGCCTTTTGACTTGCTTTTTAAAAAGGAAGACACAATAACTAGGAGAACCTCATACATACTCACTCAGCAGGACTTCTGGATCCTTTTTTCAAGGCTTAATACAGATTTCCATGCAGAGGGACCAAAAAGACTGGCCATTTCCTAGCCGTAGCCTTTCTGGCATCTGGATTATGCATATCAGGTACTCAGCAACGACAGTCTTGGCCTGTACCTCCATCCTGGGGGACTGAGTGCCTTTCCCTGTCTCCGACCAGTCACTCCTCCACAGATAATGCAGAACAAGTCAGAATCCTGGAGCAGGATAGAGAGTAGAACGGGCTGTCCGCCTCTGCCGAAGGCACTCCTTGTTCAGGCTTATGGATGTTGGAAGCTGCCTTATGTGGAGGCAGAGCTGTGCTCTGTCTGGCCCCATCTCACGGATAGAGACTGGCAGTAGCTCTCCAGGCAGGGTTCTTGCCTAGCACTTCCTGTAAGCAGGTGTTGCTCAGAGAACTAAATCAGCAGACTGAGGTACACCTTGACTGTTGCTCTGGTTTTTACACAGCAGGTGTTCAATCACTTTGCAGGTAGCAGTACTCCAGCCTTGCAGGGATGTGAACCAAAATTATATCATCATTCTAGGGGAGAAAACTAGGAAAAAAGCCAAACCCAAGCTCGTGCTGAGCACTGTCGGTATCCTCCAAATAGCTTCTTGAGGAGAAAGCTGAGAGAGAACTTTTGGGCCCTTGCAGTTGATCATATACTCCACCACTCCAGTATGGTCTAAATCCTGTTTGATTAGACTTGCCCTCTGCATGGAGACCATCTTTTCCTACTGCAAGACTAGCAAATTGTTCCCAAGATGCAGTCTACAGAAACAAACCTCAAAGTTCTATAAAACCAGAGAAAAACCCTATGTTGACTATTAGTAAGCTTTATTGCACCAGTAGGAAGCACTATTACAGAGCGATAAGCAGATTCCTTGACCCAACTCCATGCTGAGATTACTCCAAAGCATTTTCAGAAACCTGTCCCACCAAAGATGCCTCCAGCCACCCTGTTCCTTCATTCACAAGAGGAAAAGGATTCCACATGCAGCAGTTCTATCATCTGGGCAGTGTCCTTGTACTGTATGATGCTGGAAATCCAACGTCATCTCCTCCATGTCGTGGTCACAAACCAGCAACAGACCAGCATGTAAGATTGCTGCAGCCTCGGGAACTGCCTCGTTCTCGCCATTTCCCTTGGGTATGCTCCTCACTTGCTAGGGGAGCCCTGGGGGTAGTTGCCACTTGCTTCGAGCATGGCCTTCCTACGGGCGGTCTCTTTGCCAACGCTGTGGTTGAGCCTTCTCAGGCGCTCCTAGAGGATGGAGTTCAGCAAAAGGTTCACAAACATCTTAGGCAAGCCACTCGATTACAACTTCCCTGTCCTCACACTCCGTTTATAAAATAAATTTAATTTTACGAAGGCTTGGCGCTCTATAGAGATCCTTTCGCCAGTGAAGAAGCAAGTCATGGTGATCGAGTCAGCTGGACTAGTGTCAGTATCTCGGGATTAGATGTTCTTCTGCATGCGAGGAACAGTATTGTACTTCCTCTAGAATGCCTTGGGGCGAAAGTGAGCTTCTATCAGCACAGCGCTTCAGGGGCCAGCTTCATTCCACTACCATGCAAGCCACTCACCTGGGCATTCTGCAGGATATTGTTCACAAGGACAACCCTGCGCCGGGCATTGAGGAGTTTCTTGACGTAAGGGTCCAAGTCGAGGGCAATTTTCTGGTCTTCGTTGATCCGGCAAAGCTCTTATCAGGAGAAGGGAGAACAAACTGTTTTTGGCTGAGTCCACATTTTTACTGTAATGGAATCTCCTTTCCCCTCTTTTTAAAAATTAGTTTACATGATTCTCCTCACAACAACCCTGTCAGACAGGTTAAGCAGAGACTCAATGACTGGCCCAGTGTCACCCAGTGACCATTTCATGGCCAAGTAAGAACCAGAATCCGGGTCTTTCGCTGGAAATATTCCCAGACTGCTACCGCTGAAGGCTTTACATCCCATAAGGAGTCGATTCAGGGGTGAAACCCCACTGAAAAGATGCAACAGCACTTTTGCCGGGGATGTTTAGTGGGTGGGCTGGAAGGGAGAAAGGTGGTGTGGATTGTATACAGGAGAATAGCTTGAGTATTATGGTCCTTGTGAACAGAAAGCAGAGAGTGGCCCTCCCAGTGTTTGTTACTCAACCCAAAAGAAGTGCAGGCCAGCTGCTAATTTCCTACTCAAACCTCAGCAAAGCTCAGTTCCCATAACGAGTACTCTGCTGCCCCTTACTGGCTGGGAAAAGGCTAAGCATGAGACTAGTCCAGCAAGAGGCTCATGTCCCCATCTTCCCCATTCCCCAACACCCAGTCACCTGTTGCCAAGCTGTCAATGTGTTCCCGCAGTTCCACTTGACTCTCTCTGCCAGAGAAAGAGAAGTGAGAGCCTTACAAAGTGTTCCACAGAAATTAATAACCCACAACATTTAAAATCTAGCATATTTGTCCACCATGACACAAAGCGCACCCCCGCCATCTAAGAATATACCAGGTATCAGAATGGAGGAATTATTCATCTGGCAATCCCTAGAATGGACTAAGCATCTCAAACTGGAAAGAGGAGGCCTTTACATTTACACTGAATATAACATCAGGCTTCCTCCATCAGAGTCTACGCAACCCAATTCCCTCCACCCATTTCCTTCTGTCTTGCATCCTCAGGTCACCTCCATCCACCCTGACTTCAGTGTTTCACTGAGAATTCCTCTCCAACATTTCCCCTCCGCCTTTTTTGCAAGTCAGGCAGTGGAAACAAATATGCTTTCTGCCAAACTGATCTGGAGTAACTTCCTCCCTTCCAGTCACCAGTTATGAACGAAAGGAGGGGCACTTCCCCACTTGATTTCTGTGCCACAGACAGCAATTAAGGTACTGGGGACCAGGCATGCCTATTTCAAAGCTGCGTATTCCCATGACTCTTATATACAAGATAGGTTTGAAGTTGCTATTCTCAGCACACCTGTAATTGTCAAATGCATATTAAGGTCAGGCAGAAATTTTAAATGCCTCGTCCTTCTAGTTGTGCCTCTCAAAAGTGAAATGACACGGGGTTGCTTTCCACCTGCCACTCAGCTATTAAAAGAGGAAATGAAACGCCTGCTTTGTTTTCCTGTATCTTCAGCCCGGCCAGTGAAGGAAAAAACAGAATTCTGCTTGTCGCACCGCTGTTCAAAGCACTGTGGAACCAGCTGAAATGTTCAAAACAGGAGCCACCGTGATTTTCCTCCAGGGCAACGAGAAAGCTGCACCAGGCAGGCTTCCTCCTGCCACTTCACTAGCGGAGCCCACGACGGGGCAGGTTTTAAAAGGAGGACAGAGCTGGCCCTCGTCGGATTTCTGCCTGTCACAGTTATTCGTCCCCAGGAGGGACCATAACTGCCCTGGAGCTGAAGCAGCCTCCCCTGGAGAACTCCCGCCTGCCATGCAAGCTTGCCCTACCTGACCGCATGAACGTGCGCGTCCAGCTGCCGCACGGCCGGGCGCAGGAACTCGAGCAACCCTTCCGCGAAGAGGTCTCTGGCCGCAGGACCCGCCGGGCTCGCCGGCCCCGAAGGCGCCGCCGGCCCCGCCGCCGCCATGGCTGCGCGCCCGACTCGTCACAACGCCCGCTGAAGCAAAGGCTCACGGGAAGGACGGGGCTCGTGACCGCTTCCGCGGAGGGAATGCGCGTGCGCCTGTGGCCCAGGAGCATTGTGGGAAACGATGTCCCTGGCCGGGAAGGAGCGCCGGCGCACGGGCCGCTGGGAAACGTAGTTTCTCTCCCGTCCCTTACATTGCGGGCATGCTGCCTCGCCTACGGACCCAGTTTTTCCACGCCGTGCGGAGGGGCTCCGATTTTTCCCTGGAAGAGGAATGGTATTTGCACCCGATCCCGAAGAAGAACCGCTTTCCTATCTCTTGCAGGCAACGTTAGCGGCCCTCCTGGCTTTCCATCCATTTTGGTATTCACCGGATTCACCACCCAGACCCCAATTTCATCCACGCCAGGACGCGCGGCTTTGATTAGTGTCAAGACACACACGAGATAAACGTGCTGAAAATGTGACGTGAGGTCCCAATGAACAAAACTTTAGGCCAAAAGGTTCCTACATTCTGCAATACTGTACACGCGATGCAGATTCTACGTAACTGGACAGAACCAGCGGGATTTTTTCAGCGGCTTTCGGATCACCTGCTCCAACACATTTTTTTTAACTGGATTTGCCAGGGTTAGAACCTTCAACTTGCTTTATAAAAAGTATGTTATAATCACTGTATGCATTTTAAATTGTTTTATTGTATTCTATGTGCAGCACTTTGGCATGAAGTGTCATATAAATTTATTAGAAGTATATCCTGCCTTTTCCCTGTGAGGAAACAAAATCCTAATCCTTTTTATCCTCACAACAACCCTGTGAGATAGTTTGGGCTGAGAGTCTGGCCGAAAGTCACCCACTGAGCTTCATGGCTGTGTGGGGACTAGAATCTGATTCTCCCAGATGCCCCAGTCTAGCATTCTAAGCAATAAACCATACTGTCTCCAAATATATAAATAAATATTGTGTGTTCCACAGCCAAGCTGGGGTCCTGCTCCAACCTCTAGGTTCCTATATGCTGAAGAGAGATCCACATGAATGCCTTCCCTGCATCAGTCTTCTCCAACCCTCTTGCCCAAAGCACTAGAAACTTGTTTTTTAAATGACACTGTTCTATCCCCAGGATTACTTCCCTGTTTTCCCTCTCACGGAAATATGCAAAGAATACACATAGCAATGCCTTTAAGTAAGCTCAGTTGCTTTTCCAGGCAAGGCATTCCTTTTATTCCCCACGTTTCCACAGCATTCTCCAAGCCAATAAACTGAGACGCTCGGTTTAAGCTGCTTCTGAAATTCAGGGAAAAG